TGCTTTGATGATGGGTATTAGGGAGGGAGATATGAGGAATAGGTCGATATGGGAGTGAGATTGGTGCGGATGCGAGAAGAGGGTGTAGTCGCGGGAGGTCGGGTGTTGTGATCTCCAGGTGTCTATCATATGCGTCCAAGTTGTGAAGTTCTGTAAGCGTTTGTCCGCTTTGGGTGTTTTGGGTTGATTTCCGGTCTGTGTCTTGGGTCGTGTCAGTCAATCATTGGGGCTTATAATCTCCTCCTGTGATTAGGTGGTGGGAGGAGAACAGCGACAGGTGTGTCTGTATGGTATTCCAAATGGTGCTGGACAGTGTGTTAGGTACGTCAAGTGACGTGATAGCGTACTTATGGGAGCCTATGCGTCCCGCTATCATTATATAGCGGCCCTAAGGGGCCGTGACTGTGCGTTCAATGGAAAGGGGACAGGATTTGTGTAGTAATATTGCTACCCCATTTTGTTTCCCTGTGGGGGAGTTGGCTAGGAAACATTGGTTGAAATGGCTGTAACTGATCACCTGGCACCCCGACTGAGTACCTCCGTTGAGGGATGCTCCAACAATCTACCGCAGCTTGGTTGGGGTCTCACCGTCTCCTATCCATCCTGGACCTACGACAAGGTTCCAAATTCCAGTGGGTGAACCTCTCCTCCAAGAGAGCGAAGCAGGAACAAACTCTTAAAAGAGCTTAGTGATTATTCAAGGGAGTATGAAGAGCATAGCAATCCATTGTAGCAGATTCCCCCAATAAGAGACAGGACTCTAGATTGAGGGTGAAGTAGAACTGGTTTAATGAGCACAAAGGCATTTCTTATATACAGTTTTCTAATGTACACAAACCCTGCCCTCTGCCTGTGATACAATTACCAAACACAATGGACTAACTCAATTGCCACAGGCAGAAAATATCCAGTTTTACCCAAAGTCCAAAAACGCCCCAAAACAACAACATATGCCCACAAATACATCCCTGGAGAGCCCTGATCTGGGTGAACAACATATCCAAAAATCACCCAGATCAGAGCAGGGGTTCAAATGTTTTATGGAAGTCACATTTGATGGACCGCAATCTAGTTCCACAGATTTAGGCTGTGCGGCCGGTCTATTTTCTCCTCTATCCTGGAGATAATTGGCTTAAGTGGCTATTGTAAACCAATTATCTCCAGGTACAGGAAATATCTTTAAGTCCAAAAACTGTTACAAAAACCACATAAAAATATATAACTCATATAATACAATGTTAACCTACATGTCCAACATATCCCCAGATAGCTTGGATCTGAGCGCTCAATATGTCCAATGTTAAAAGTGCCCTATAGTACAAGGAAGGTTGAGGTCAGAAAATAGCAAGGGCTGATGGGAGATTGAGGAGGGACAAAGCAGCCAGTTTAAACTGGTCTGGCAGTGTCCCGGAGACAATGCTGTAGAAACAATAGGTCAGGAAAAAGGGGGAGGGGAAGAGGCACATTTTCCCATGAATTTAAAGTGGCAGACAAAGTGTTTTAAAATCTAATAAGCCCAAATAGACTTTTTAGCATGTCTTTTTTCAGGGCCCATAGTCTTGGGGCAGGAGGCTGGCAAATAATCCCCCCCAAAAACTCATGGCAAACTCCCTAAAAAAGGGGAGTTTGTCACAATGACGACTTAGGAGAGGGAGCGGTCTAGCGTGGGTGAAGTGTGTTTCTTGTAAGAGGATTATTTGTGCCTGGGTTCTGTTTATCCACTGTAGGAATTGATGGCGTTTGTTGGGGTTGTTGAGGCCTTTGCAATTAATGGATACACAAGAGAGAGAGGACGTCATGGTGGGAATTTTAGAGTCCGTAGTCCTTTCTTTTACTGTAGGGTAGCAAAGTTGGGTGGACTGAGGAGAGAGAGGAATTGAAAGAAAGAGAGAGAAAAAAAAGGATGGAGTTAGTTGGTTGAGTAAATGGCTGAAAAGGGTGGTTTGACGGGGAGTGAGAGTAGGGCACAGAGTGAGGGGAGGTGGATACAGGGAGGGGGGGGTTGTAGGGTGAGAAGTGGGTGAGAGGGAGAGCTTGGTCTTATGTTAAGGTTGCAAGGTCTGTTGGGGGTGGAGTGGTGCCGGTCTGTGGTGTGACGCGGGTCGAGACCGGAGGGAACGTGTGTTCCTGTGAATGGAGTGTAGGGGGTGATGGGAGAGTTGTGTGTGGGTTAGATATCCATCCCTGATCTATCCGTCCCTGATCTAACCCTCCCCCCTGAGCCTGCGGGTGTACAGGGCAACTGTTGGCAGTATAAGGAAGGAGCTTGCCAGTGTGTTGCAGGTGGTTCCTCGTGAGCGTCTCGGGGCATGCTGTATGAAGTGTTGGAAGCAGCATGTGTGCGGTGTAGGTGCCACAGTGTGAGTAGTGGCCATGGGTGGTGGAGGCGTGGGGGGCTCACAGCTGCATACGTACATACTAGCCAAGATTAAAGGACCACTATAGTGCCATTAAAACATACTCGTTTTCCTGGCACTATAGTGCCCTGAGGGTGCCCCCACCCTCAGGGTCCCCTTCCCGCCGGGCTCTAGGGGAGGAAGGGGTTAAACTTACCTATTTTTCCAGCGCCGGGCGGGGAACTCTGCTCCTCCTCTCCTCCTCCATAGCGACGTCATCGGCTTAATGCGCATGCGCGGCAGGAGCCGCTCGCACGTTTAGCCAGTCTCATAGGAAAGCATTCTCAATGCTTTCCTATGGACGCTGGCGTCTTCTCACTGTGAAAATCACAGTGAGAAGCGCGGAAGCGCCTCTAGCGGCTGTCAATGAGACAGCCACTAGAGGCTGGATTAACCCTAAAGTAAACATAGCAGTTTCTCATTAACATTAACTTTTAACATTAACTTTAGCAACCAGCGAATTTTGGCACGGGGATCTGTACCTCGGGTTGTCGAGGTCACTATCGGGGTCGGAGCTGTCTACTCCAGGGGGTCATGTACTTTATATTAGGCCATTGCTTATTTAAAGGAAGGCTTCTCCGGGTGAGGTGGGGATGCCCATAAGATTTGCCACTGTTTTGGGTTTACTAGACGCCCAAAGACGGCGTGCGTGTAAGGATTGCCATGCATAGGGTGTAGGATTAACGCCCGTCACCGGGCTGCTTAGGTGGCCCTGGGTTGGGTGCAGTATGGTGCCCTCGTGCATGCTAGGCATACGGTGAGGCTGGGGATTAACTAGGCAGGGAATTACGCTGGTTAGCGAATTTAACAAACAATTAGCCAGCGTATGTCAACGTCTTACATAAATTCCAACCTAATCTGATGTCAGGACGAGGACAGCTGGACGGAGGTGTGCTCAGGTCGTCCCCTGAGTAAGTCCTTTCTCCTGCATGGTCAGGCATCTCTTTTGGGGTTGGCAAGGTGGCAGAGGTTTTTCTCTGGCCCTAGCATTCGGTGGTCTCCGGGGTCCAGCAGGATCGGGCCGAGGCAATTGAGTGAGGGAGATCCCGATGTGTGTTGCGAAGTCTGCCATATGAGAGGTTCTGTGAAGAGTGTAGGTTTAATTGTCCTTTTGGCTAAACGTGCGAGTTTAAAGGGATGGCCCCACGTGTACTTCCAGCCCTGTTGTGGCAGTGCTATCGTGAGGGGTTTAAGTTCCCTGCGTTTTCTCAGGGTAGATGGTGACAAGTCCTGAAAAAAGTGGAGTGGATAGCCTTGGTAGGTAGGTTGCCGGTCTCTCGCAGCCGACATGAGTTGACAGGGAATAGGAGCAGCTTGACGATAACGTCCCGTGGAGTGGAGGAGTTGGGTAAATGTGGGCGCAGTGCCCGGTGTGCTCGTTCGATCATTAGATCATGTGCCGAGGATTCAGGCAGGAGTGAGTGAAAGATCTCTTGGACGCTGGTGAGTATAGCGTCTGATGGGAGAGATTCAGGTAGGCCCCGGATGCGAATATTGTGTCTGCGCGACCTATTATTGAGATCTTCCAGGCCGTCTTCCAACTGCAAAATTCTGTCTTGCACGGCATAGATTTTTTGGTCGTGGGCCTGTACCTCATGTGTGAGACTTGAAATTTTGGTTTCGGTCACGCTGATTCGGGAGGTGAGGGCCTCAAGTTCTTCCCTTAGCCCGGCCATTTGTTTTTCCAGCTCGTTTTAATGTCTTAATGTTTTTAATTTCTCTGGAGGTCTTACGGAGAAGTCTCCAGGGGTCGCCCATGGTGAGGGGAGCATTGGGGTCTGTGGGGCCCTCGCTATCCTCGTTATCCCCGCTATCGGACTCAGCTTCAGGTAGGCCCTGGGACAAAGATGGCCGCCCCTGGTATTTGGCGTGGAATATTGTAGCCACTGATGACAGAGTGTCTCTTCGCTTTTTGCTGCCCATGACACCGCTTGATGTGGGTAGTCTGCTCTGCTGAGATTCCGTATTTTTGTAGTCGTGTGTGTACACTTTGGGCTGATGGATGCTGATGGTATGCTCAAGGGAGAGGGAGCTCAGGGTTTACACGTCTGTCTCAATTGGTGGTCAGGCTCCTCCCCCAAATTTCTGTCTCAATTTCATATTTTTGGAGAATCTGTTTAAATTATTTAATATCACCACGTGGTGGTATGTGGTTAATAATATATGGTAAAAACTTAGCGTGCCATATGCTTGTGAACTACATTTCCCTTGATCTTCAGCTAAAGAGGAGGTTTGTCAGGCTGAGGGAAGCATAAAACATAAACATTCCTCTGCTCATGGAAATTCATCAAAGTTCGAACTGTAGCAAATCTGCCAAATACATCATTACATTCATGCACCCAGGTAATCCCTAAATCCTGGACTGGTAGGGGGTCCTTGAAGACTGGGTAGAGAACCCCTGCTCTAGTGTGTAGCACTTTTGGATCCTTAGGGGGATCCACAGCCCTCTTTCTTTAAGCAGTATAGATTAAATTTGGAGTCAGACAAGTTTCATATCTGAAAGTAGGATACCACAAAATGTCCAGGTATTCCAAATGTATTAAGTAAATAAACAAGTTAAAGCAAATTCCATACAATAAAATAAAAATGAAATAAGGTAAAATATTCCCAATGTTTTATAGTCCAAAACGAGTTTCGCCATATTATGACTTTCTCAGTTGATAGATAACAAGCTTCTTGTGTCACAATCCTTATATACCTTGTATTAATTTATAAATTGCTGGCATTTGGGCGTCTTTTGGAGCGTCATGTTGAGTCTCTACGGTTATGCACGTTGCGTTCGCATCCTTATGTTACTACCCTTTTCTTCATAGAATGCATCGTGTTCCACTGCTTGTGTCATTTCCATCTCCTCCGTAGAGCGCACCCTGCGTTCCATCGGCTGATTTTGTTATGTTCATTTTGATAAGTGCAGTGGAGCATACCTGATGTTGTATGTGGAACGCACATTTAAAGTTCCCTCCGAAGTCCATATTGCCATAAAAAAAAAAAAAATACAGGAAATAAATAAATAAATAAATAAATAAAATCATATAAATATACATTTTTATGCATAAATATAATAGCACCAAATTAAACTCTTAAAAAATCTATTGTCTATCACCCATGAAAATGGGGGATGGGAAAGGAAAACTCATATATAGTTTACTTGTTTTTTGTATCAATAAGGAGATAGTTGAGATACTTTTAACTTAAAGAAATGGCACAATTCAAAATCTTGATTGAGGCCATGGAGAAAAAGAGTATTAAATTGAAAATAAATTTCATTTCTTCAGTGTCTTTTTACCAATTTCAGCACACAAAATAAGAGATCATGAAGATCTCCACATCTCTCTTAATATTCCTATTATGTTCCGAGAACCTGGTGTGGAGACATCTAATAGTTCTCCCACCATACAATAAATCACAAGGACATTTTAAAATATAAATTAAGTTTTTCAAGAAACATGTGAGCTGATATATTTAGTATCCACTATGGGTGCCCCTTTGGAGGTGACCACAGATAATCTTAATTTGAGGAGTCTCTTGAAGCAGTTTATACTGCAAGTAAGTATTGCAAGTTAGCATGTAAATCTCATTTTACATTCATTGTGAAGCTGCATTCAGGGCCGGATTAACATAGGGGCTGATGGAGCTGCAGCTCCAGGCCCAGGCCCAGGCCCATGGAATAGGCCCATTGATTTTTTTTTTCCCACACACTACTCTTAGGGATTCCACCTGGCTTTTATTTTATTGGCACAGCCAGTATTTGAGGCTGCCTGGCTGGTGCCAATATTGCAGTGATACTGGCAATACAAATACTGGTATTTTTCTCAGTATAAAAGAGATTACTCTGCAATACCAGCACTGGCCAGTAGGGGTCACTGTGTATGGAGAGAGGCATGAATAGGAAGTTCCAGCATATCCCTCCCCTGCCTATCTATACTCACTAATCTGCAGGGGTGCAGCTACAGAGAGTCCAGACAGCAACGCCCACCCTGCAGAGACAGCCTACAGCTCAGGGAAGTAAGGGATGGGGAAAGGCTGCAAGAAGACATGGGGACACTGAGACACTAAGGGGCACTGGGAGACATTATGGCAGACACTGAGACACTAAGGGACATTGGGAGACATTATGGCAGACACTGAGACACTAAGGGACATTGGGAAACATTATGGCAGACAATGAGACACTAAGGGACATTGAGAGACATTATGGCAGACACTGAGACACTAAGGGACACTGGGAGACATTATGGCAGACACTGAGACACTAAGGGACATTGGGAGACATTATGTCACAGACACATGGGGACACAACCCGAAAAGGCCCCACAAGCTCATCTTTGATGATACCAGCCCAAACCAGTACTCCACCTCCACCTTGCTGGCGTCTGAGTCGGACTGGAGCTCTCTGCCCTTTACCAATCCAGCCACGGGCCCATCCATCTGGCCCATCAAGACTCACTCTCATTTCATCAGTCCATAAAACCTTAGAAAAATCAGTCTTGAGATATTTCTTGGCCCAGTCTTGACGTTTCAGCTTGTGTGTCTTGTTCAGTGGTGGTCGTCTTTCAGCCTTTCTTACCTTGGCCATGTCTCTGAGTATTGCACACCTTGTGCTTTTGGGCACTCCAGTGATGTTGCAGCTCTGAAATATGGCCAAACTGGTGGCAAGTGGCATCGTGGCAGCTGCACGCTTGACTTTTCAGTTCATGGGCAGTTATTTTGCGCCTTGGTTTTTCCACACGCTTCTTGCGACCCTGTTGACTATTTTGAATGAAACGCTTGATTGTTCGATGATCACGCTTCAGAAGTTTTGCAATTTTAAGAGTGCTGCATCCCTCTGCAAGATATCTCACTATTTTTGACTTTTCTGAGCCTGTCAAGTCCTTCTTTTGACCTATTTTGCCAAAGGAAAGGAAGTTGCCTAATAATTATGCACACCTGATATAGGGTGTTGATGTCATTAGACCACACCCCTTCTCATTACAGAGATGCACATCACCTAATATGCTTAATTGGTAGTAGGCTTTCGAGCCTATACAGCTTGGAGTAAGACAACATGCATAAAGAGGATGATGTGGTCAAAATTCTCATTTGCCTAATAATTCTGCACTCCCTGTATATATACATACACATACATACACACACATATATATGTGTGTGTGAGCGAGGGTGCTGTCTGTCTGAGGGTGCTGTGTGTGAGTGAGGGTGCTGTGTGCCTGAGTGCGCTGTGTGTGTCTGGGGGTGCTGTGTGTGTCTGGGGGTGCTGTGTGTGTCTGGGTGCTGTGTGTGTCTCGGTGCTGTGTGTCTGTGGGTGCTGTGTGTCTGTGGGTGCTGTGTGTGTCTGGGGGTGATGTGTGTGTCTGGGGGTGATGTGTGTGTCTGGGGGTACTGTGTGTGTCTGGGGGTGATGTGTGTGTCTGGGGGTACTGTGTGTGTCTGGGGGTGCTGTGTGTGTCTGGGGGTGATGTGTGTGTGTGAGTGTGATTTTTTAATTTAAATTAATTATTTAATTTTTTTATTAATAATAATAATTAAAAAAAAAGTTATATCCCCCCCCCTCCCTTCTTACCTTTAGCCTGGGAGGAGGGGGGGGAACCGTTTTGCCTGGGACGGGGGGGAGCCGTTCTGCCATGGGAGAGCCATGCTGCCTGATCCCTGGTGGTCCTAGTGGTGAGCGTGAACTCTAGCCTGTAGGCTAGAGTTCACTCTCGCGAGATCCCGCGAGAGGACCGGCGGAGCTGCTGGATAGAGCTCTGCCGGTCCTCTCCTCCCTCCCTCACACCCCAGCAAGCGGCCGCCTGGAAGTGTCTCTGGGCCGGTAAAGGGAGATCTTAGATCTCCCCACCGGCCCATGGAGGCACACAGCAGGGCCGGCGCTCGGGTAGCGCTGGCCCTGCAGGGGCCGGCCGGGGAGATCCTGTGATCTCCCTGCCGGCCTCGGCCATCGCGGCCCACCGGGCATTTGCCCGGTATGCCCGATGGCCAGTCCGGGCCTGGCCTCGCCATCGCGGCCCACCGGGCATTTGCCCGGTATGCCCGATGGCCAGTCCGGGCCTGGTCACTGGTGTCTCCGTGTCCCTAGGTCTCCCTGTGTCCCCAGGTCTTCCCGTCTTCCTAGTGACATGGGGATCCTGGGATACATGGGGACACAGGGAGACATGGGGCATTGAGACACTGTGATACATAGGATCACTGGGAGACCTGGGGACACAACACTAGGGGACACTGGGAGACATGGGGCACTGAGACACTGATACATAGGAACACTGAGACCTGGAGTAATCGACACATGGGGGCACTGGGAGACATGGGGCCACTGAGAGGAATCCATCTATATAGCAGAATCAAACTAAGTAGTTTTTTGGTGATTTTACAGCATTTTCTCTTATGTCACTCCTTGTGATTTACATCATGTGATGTCACCCATACATATTTAATTATGCAAATTAGCAAGGCCGGTATGTTTTTCCAAGAAAGGTGGCAACCCTAACTACTTTTCACATACTCTTACTTAAGTATGGAAACTTAAGAGGGATGTATGGGAACAAAACTGGTGTGGACTGGCTGACAATGAATATAGTTAAAGGGACACTAGAGTCACCAGAAGAACTACAGCTTATTGAATTTGTTCTGGTGAGTAGAATCATTACCGTCAGGCTTTTTGCTGTAAACACTGTCTTTTCAGAGAAAATGCAATGTTTACATTACAGCCTAGTGATAACTTCACTGGCCACTCCTTAGATGGGTGTTAGAGATCCTTCCTGGGTCATGGCTGCCTAAAATGCATCCAAACATTCAGTGTCTTCTCCCTCTGCATGCAGACACTGAACTTTCCTCATAGAGATTCATTGATTCAATTCTGATTGGCCAGGGCTGTGTTTGAATCATGCTGGCTCTGCCCCTGAAATGCCTCTTTGTCAGTCTCAGCCAATCCTATGGGGAAGCACTGTGATTGGATTAGGCCATCACTTCTAATGATGTCAGCAGACTGCTTGTTTTTCTGAGTCTAACAGCATGCAGAGTTACAGCTTCAAGCTTGAATACAGTAAGATTTCGCTATATTTATGGAGGCATGAGGGGCCCAGGGGGGCTAGATGGTGGTGTTAACACTATAGGGTCATGAATTCATGTTTGTGTTCCTGACCCTATAGTGATCCTTTAAGGTAATGCTGACTTTGGCACACCCTTTTACCCCGCCCATTGACTTCCTGCTTGACTAGACACTACTATTAGGGGTTATGGATTTACTTAAAAGATGAAAACATAAATTAGAGAGAGATTAGCCTAGGGTATGTGTTTTCTTACAGCTGCTGTTTCCTTTCTCTCCAGCACCATCTCCATCAGATACATGACGCTTGGGAGTGTTTTACTGTTTTTGGTCGATATGACTCTGTAATTAGGCCCGTCATAATTGTCAGCACCAGGCCCACTGGGCTCTTAATCTGGCCCTGGCTGCATTCTTAGTGAGCTGTCCAGGAGGTGGGAGGGTCTGGGAGGGAGGGTCTGCTGCTGATTGGCTGGAATGTGTCTGCTGACTGTGAGGTACAGGGTCAAAGTTTACGGCATATGTTCGCCATCTGCGGCGAACCGTTCAGCGAACCGTTCGGGACATCAATAACGTGCATATGTGCATACATCAAAAGACAACACTACATGCAAACACCCCTGCAATCAAACACAATCATGACATACAAACATACCCCTGCATTCAAAAGCATACATACAAATGTACACCTGGATTTAAAAGTCATCACCTGCATTCAAACACAAAACTGATACATAGAAGTATCAACATTTTTTATAAAAACACTTCAAAATCTCGAAATAATCTTCAAAATAAGTTAAGATAGGTTCTACATTGACCTGCTTTAAATATTTAACACTGATGAAATTATAGTAAGGAAATTCCTTATAAACTAAAGTTAGAATGTGTGTTTAGACTATGAATTTTACAATTATATAGGAATTTAATATCTAATTAAGTGCCTACAAATTAAAGAATACTGAAACTTTGAAAATCTTATTAATAAACATTATACAAATTAACTAATTTCTTGCAAGTAAGGATACCCCTGATCCCAGAATTATGCCTTCTCTTCATGGGCCCAAAAAAAAACCCTGCCTAAAGTCGAACGCTGTAGCGGAGCTCCCTGTACCCCTGGGTACCTCCGCCAAAGGACCACTTCCTAGCTGGAACAGGGTACAAACCGCAGCACTTCGGCCCACCGTCGCCGTGGCTGGACTGGGGCCCTGGAACCGCTCCTTCCTGGAGCCGAATGGGAAATTAGCTCTAGTCCTTACAAAGACTTTCCCCGTTGAATCTCCTGTAAGCTGGAACAGCAGACACAGGAGCAAGCCCTTTTCCCTTGAAGCTCCTGCAAGCTGGAACAGCAGACACAGGAGCAAATCTTCTTTCCCTCCAATAACAGGATGACACACAGTTTTGGAGTGTAAGCAGGAACAGAATGAACTGAGGCTTTATTACTTCTTATATACACATTTTCCCACAAGGTTACCACCCACGTGGACCTTGTGGTACACAGGACACAAATTTACAACAGCCAATCAACACACTACAGTACAGTTAAACACTCCCATTCATTCCAGTAAAATCCTCCCCTCTGCTTGGGAGATAATTGGGCTAATTACTGTATCAGCTCAATTATCTCCAAATGAAAAATATACTTTTTACACTATTTCTATAACTCCAAAACTATACATCACATTCGCAACATCATAAAATATTCTTACATATTCTGAACCAGCATAATTAGAGAACCAACATACTCAAAAATCATGCAAATCCGTTCAGCCGTTCGGGAGTTAGCTGGAAGTCACATTTGACCGACTGCATGCACATTTTCATGCCCAAAACAGTTCCATAGATTAAGGCTGTGCGGTCGGTCTATTTCCCATAGTTGAAATGCAAATATCCAATGTTAATGTGGCATTCAAACAGTCCAACGCACTTCGAGTTCCGTTGAAGTGTTTAAGTTCCAGCAAAGGTAAAACTTCAGCCACAAACGCAAACTCCTATTTCAAGTTTTAATCGATGCCAATACATTTTTGAAAAGCTTGAGCAAGCATTTCTCTGGGTTGTCATGTAAGCCCATACTGCCGTCTGTAACGACAGACACTAATGCAAAATTCCAATACTGTATCAGGAGACTGTCTCCTGGGACAGTTGTGTAACACGAGAATGCTTAAATAACCCAGAGTTATATCAACGCCTTGTTTGAGGGGTATAAACATTGACATGACTGTCGATGCATGTTAATGCTCGCTATGTTACACTGTGTTAATTATATCCAAATGTGGCCAATGTTATTATTATTTCTAATGCAACACCGGGTTTCAGTTTTCTGTTTCCCCCCCCCCCCCTATCTTTTTTCTATACCCCACATACCTTGTGAAAACAATACAAATTGTCAAATTGAAAAAAGTAAATGAAAATAAACTAATTTCTAAAACCACACAAGTATTAAAATGCCTTACAGACACAGATAAACCCCAATTTGATAAGCAAATGGGAAAGATATTTAAATAAACTTTTCCCATAAGATGAATGGGGGGGATTTCTTTATACAAGTTAGGAAAATTACCCATAGCCTTAGTCTACATGAAATCTTTTTTTAAATCACTCATAGGTGGTATCTTATTCCGCACAGATTTAAGAAATGTAAACATAATTATTCAGATATGTGTTGGAGATGTTCAGGAATGGTGGGAACACTGTATCACTTGTGGTGGGGATGTGGCGGTTTAGCAGAGATTAAGAAAAATATTGACTACATTTTCAAGGCTCTCTGCATACAAGAAGAACTGTCTCCTCAATCATTTCTTTTCCATTTAGATTTCCCTAGCTGTAGTTTTGAACATAAAGCATTATTAACACATATACTTATGGCATCAAAACTTACAAACCCAGAAACTGGAAGATACCTTCTATACCTAATTGGTCAGATATAACCGGTCAGATAAAATACCAGGGAATTATGGAAAAAGGGTTCTATATAATTGTAGATTATGCTAACGTAGTGTACAGATAATCTTAATTTTAATAATGACAGGAGGCGAGTATTTTGCATAAACTTTCTTTACTTTATGCCTCCAGCAGCACAAGTCAATCAATCAAAAGAAAATCTTAACCAATCAGAGTCCAGCACATCCTGTATATAAGTCTCTGACAGGCGTCTCATTTCCTCTTTCTTTGACGTAACTGTGTATGGAGAAACTTCAGTGAATACAACGAAAACTTTAACGGTAGAACACTGGCAACTTGTGTTGTAAAACTTGAAAGAATCCTGTTAAGCCGACTTCTGCATTATGACGTGATGTTATGCTGAAAGAAACAGAAACAAGTGAAAGGTGGTGGAAATCAACTGTTGTCCACATATCGTTATACTCATAATCTTTAGGGTTAATCAATATATACCTTGTTTAGTACACATTGATGAAAACATAACAATGTCCAGATCATGTAACAAAATCATAACTTGTAATTCATCTAATGGCTATCTGATGTCATGTAATCTAAGCGTCCTATAGATCAGTTTTACCTATATCATATACTATGTGTAGCATGAGCTAACTAAATATAAGTAGAGAAGAGAAAAGGCTCTAAGAGTATAGGGAGGGACAGAAGAGAAGGGAGGGAAAATACTCGCCTCCTGTCATTATTAAAATTAAGATTATCTGTACACTACATTAGCATATTCTACAATTTTATCACATGACAGGAGGCTTCCTATTTTGCATTTTTAACGCTGAGGTAAAAACGATAAGGACACGTGTGATGATTGGCGAAAATAGAAAACCCTGAAGGTATTTTCTCTGGTCCAATCCGCTGTACGTAAAATGTCCGTCAAGTAGGCTCCCGCCGAGAAGGCCCTAGATGCCACCGCTCCTCGAACCAAATGGGCCCCAAAACAAGTTTCTATTCCGGCTAGAGATAATAACCATCGTACCCATCTGGCCAACGTGGTAGTGGTAACTGGTTTGTATGGTATGGCATATGATATTAATAGTTGTCCCGTTTCGGAAGAGCGACGAGGTGCTGTAACCTCCACATAACGGAGTAAAGTGTTGACGACACAGAGGCGAGGAACCGTCGGAAAAAAACGGGTAGGACACGGACTTGGAGTCCGTCTTAGTCCTGCGGGATACTGAAAACGTACCACCGACTGGGGTTATAGAAAACGTCGAATGCCCGAACATCCGAAACACGATGGAAGGAGACTAGACATAGTAGCAGTGTGAGTTTGGCTGCTAGTTGTCGTAGTGATAGGGCCGTATTATCCGGCCAGTCCCGGATGAAACGGATAACCAAATCCACATACCATAACCGGTTGTATTGAGGAGCCGGCGGTCTGGATAATTTGATGCCCCGTAGTAGTCAACACACTAAGGCCTCCTGGCCTACTGGGGTACCGTTAACAGGAACATGAGCCGTTGAGATAGCGGAGCGTGTAACATTAATCGATCGGTATGATCTTCCTGTAGAGAACAGGTTGGATAGAAAATTTAGTATGGCCGGGACAGGTGCTGTAAAGGGATCGAGACCCCTTTCCATACACCAGTGATCCCATGTATTCCATGCTGACATGTAGCTACGCCTTGTACCTGGTGCCCATGAATCCCATAGCAGGTCTTTAGTCGTTTGCGATAGGCCTGGGACTGCCCAAGTTCCCCTGAAAGAGTCCAAACTACTAATTCCAGGCGTTCTTGAAGAATTAGTGGATGAGGTTCCCCTTTCGGGTTCGTGAGAAGCAGGGGGAACGTTGGTAGGACTAGTGGGTGATCCTGTGACAATGCCAGTAAGTCTGGGAACCATGCCTGACTTCTCCATAATGGTGTTATCAGTATCAACGATGTCTTGGACATGCGTAGTTTGTGAAGCACCCTTGCCAGCATCGAAAACAGTGGGAATGCATGTGCTCCGACCGGGGGCCATTGTTGTAGGAATGCATCTACTGC